ATAGGTTACACATAAAGGACACAGGTTACACATATAGGACACAGGTTTTCATCTCCTCAGTTCTCATTGCTCCTGGGTCAGGAGTTGCTTCCATTCCTTAAGCAGAGTCCCTGAGGGTAGAAACCTATCTCCCTCTTCTCATGGGACCATCCACCATACAAACCATCATTATATTTGCATGTGATGGAATTCTACGGAAATCAGTATAGGTAAGTGCCTCTTACTTAGTCAGGATCTTAGCCATAAAGACATGAAAGAGAGATCTATGGAGAGAAAAGTACGGAGGGAGTAAAATCCACTGAAGGAAGCATGAGGAAAAGGACACAGACCTGGGTTTTGAGCCTCATTTCTTCTCTTCTATCAAACCCCTCTGGCCTCACCTCATCCAGTTGGCCTGAGCTTCATCCTTTCCATCCACATACTCATAGTGGTTCCTCCCCTTGGTGATCTGAGTTTGAGAAAAATCAGGCCTTCTTGGTTAATAAACAGGAATTCATATCCTCCCCATTCTGTGTTAATAAACAGGAATTCGTGTCCTCCCCATTCTGTGTTAATAAACAGGAATTCATGTCCTCCCCATTCTGTGTTAATAAACAGGAATTCATGTCCTCCCCTCAGTGTTTGTTCAACCAACAGTTTGTTGGCACATGAGCTGACTCTCTGTGGGCATCTACATGTCTAACTGGACTGTCAGTCAGGAGAGCAAGGAGCCTTCTTTATCTCTGTCCCAGTCTGCACACAGCTAGCCTATGACTCCAGGATATCCTAGCTCATTCTACCAAGGCACAGGGGGAGGTGAGGGACAAGGACAAGGGCGAGGTAAGTGCTTCTCACCAGCCAGGAGTAGCCATTGTTGGCTGCCTCTTCGTCTTCTGTCACTGTGCCTTCATAGGGACCAAAGTGCAGACCTCGGGGCAGCTCAGACCCCTCGGTCCAGACTCCCAGCCCAGCCTCAGGGATGTCGGATGACCCAATTCTCAGCCCAGGGGGCAGAGTGAGGATTGAGCGATTGGGGTGCCCCTTGTCCATGGGACTGTCCTTTACAAACGTTGGGGCACCGTGAGCTGCACAAGTATCAATGAAGAAGTTTTGACACATCTCACAATCTGGAGAAAGGAACAATAGAGATTAGGGTAAAGGGTAGAACACATGTGGACACTTGTCACAATAGAAGGAGGGAGCAGTGGGGATTAGCATACAGGCTGGAACATATTCTAACACTTGTCACTATCTAGATGCGGGAGCAGTAGGGATGCGGATGGACACAGGAAGGGTAAAACAGAATTCTGGACATCCCGAGCAGTTGCAGAAAGGGCCCAGACCTCGCTTCTGGGCTCCAAGTAATTAGGGACGGTCCAGGCCCTAAGCCTTCTACTGGGGGTCGGAGGGTCAATTACAAAGGTAGTCGTCATCCTGGGGCTCCCCGATCTCCTGGTATATGAGGCCCTTCCTTTCTCGCAGGCTGTACGTCTTCACCTCCACCTCTTTTCTCCTGGGCTCTAAGGGGAAGGAAAGATAGGTGGCCAAGTTGCAGTGGCGCACAGTGTGAGGTCTCCTCTCATGAACTCATCACTGTCCTTCCACAGAATATGACTTCCCCCTAAATGTCAATTCAGAGATTCCACACACACACTGACTACAGATCCATAATGCAACTACCTGTTCCAGCTCCTCCCATGTTCAGGGTTAGCTTCCCAACCTTTCTCCTTAGAAAAAGGTTCATCACACATTGCTGATTCTGAAAAATGTGTGTTGAGGACAGATTTTG